GTCCAAAAACTTTGTGAAGAAGAGTTCTACCGTATTGCCCATCTTACAAAGGAGGAAACGCCAGTCAATAGCAGCTGTCCCACCTACTCGGTTCTGCTGTCCCAGTGGGAAAGCAGCCATACCCTGCGGCTGTGGGCGTGGCTGTGTTCCAAGGAGGTGGGATTGGGTCCAAAGGCTACACTTCCCAGGCTTCAGCTCCAGAGAGAGATAAACTTGCCTTGGGCTAAGAAAGGACAGAGCCAATATTCAAATCCAGGTCTGAATGTCTCTGACTTCTACATCCTTCTACCTCACTCTGCATTTCTTTGATAGGCAGTGATGATACTAACGAGCCCCTTAACTTCCTTCGGCAGCCTATTCCTCTGCCCTGCCCGCTCTTCCTCTGGACACTCACCTTTTTCTTTGCAGAGTTGACTTGTTTAATGCCCACATCACCCCTTCACTGCACCGTGGTTACTTCCCCAACGATGCCTAGTCTTGGATCTCTCAGGACACCCCAACAGTCTTGGGAACAACCCCAGACCTCCTCTCAGGATGCCCAGCTGACCCCTGGGACAGCCTGAATTCCCTTGGCCCATCACCTATGCTTTGCTGAGCAGCCTCTTTTGTGACAGGGCCTGTGTGAGGCTCTTCTACACACAGGCCTCTTTTAATTAAATCTAAAGGCAGAAAGACTGGCCCAGCAGTTCTTGAAACCCTGCAGGCTCCCAGCAGCCGTCACCTCCCAAGGCTGGACACAGTGTATGGCTGGATCTCAGACGTGTTCTCCTGCTGCAGCTGTGGACTAAAGAACAAGCCATCCCCTTCAGCATCCCTGCCTCACCAGCCACACCACTCTGGCCTCCAGGAAACACCACCCCACACAGCTCACTGATGATTTAATTTATATATATTTTTTAAAAGCTTGAAGCAGACCTTTATGCCAGGGCTGGCCACTGATTGGACCTGGGGTGGGGCAGATCTGACTACCTAATTTGCAGATTGCAGTGCAAAATAAGAATGCAGGGCCTCTTGTGCAAAATGTATTAGGAATTTTGAGCAGAGACAACAGGTTAAACCAAACAGGGTCCTTCCTCTAAAGCAGCGGTTCTCAACCTGTGGATCACAACCCACAGGAACTGTATTAAAGGGCCGTGGTATTAGGAAGGTTGAGAACCACTGCTCTAAAAGCAATCCTGTATGACTCCATCTGACTGACAGGGTGGAGTCTAAGTCTGGGGCAGCCAACCCACCAGCTGGCTGGTGACCCACAGGCAAAGGGTCTCAGCCAGGCCAATGAGAGGTTTTTCATCTGGAATTTAATGGGGGAGAGAGAGAGACAGACAGAGATTGTACATTGGAAGTAAAGGAAATTAGAGTCATTAAAAAAATTCCCAGACTCTGCTGACAATTTTCCCCACACAGCAGCGAGAATGACCTTTTTAGAATGGAATCAGACATACTCTTTCCCGGATTGAACCCACCCATCCACCCTCACTCCAAACACTCTCCCAGCCGGTGCCACGCCAGGCACACTGTGCCTTTGTGTTCCCTGAACAGACCCAGCTTGTTCAAGGTACATGAATCACACATGCTGTTCCCTACACCCTTAACGGCCTCCCTCCTCATTCTCAATGGTCAGCTCCTGATGTCCCCTCCTCAAAGAGGCTCTCTCCACCCCCCTACTCCGCACCTGACTAAAGATGGGTCCTTCCTTAGTCCCTATAGGAGCGCCTGTTTCCTTCAGGAAGCTGTTTTGTTTTTGTTGGTGTGTGTCTGTGTCTCCTGTCTGCCTCCCTAGCAGAGTTCTGTGAACCTTGCTTATTTAGTTCTCATCTTTGTGTCCAGCATCCACTACAGTAGCGCAGATTATAGGAACGCAAACGTGCGTAGAATGTGTGATTGGTTTTATTTTTATGCACCACCTCAATGGCCATTCCTGTTATTCCCACTATGCCCAAGCTCCTGGTTTTATGTACTTATTTTATATCTGGCCACTTTATTGAATTCTTTAAATGCTTTTCTCATGATTCACTTGGGAATTCCAGGTGTATGTGAATAGCTATATCTAAGCAAATATTAATTCTGCCATTTGCTTTCCTAAAGTTCTTATTTCTGTTTCCTGCCTTATCACTTTGGCAACATATAGTGAGTTATTTTAAAGATGATGTGACTGATTAAAAAAGTGTGCAACTCTGGAAGGTTGGGGGCACAAAGGGACCAAGGGCAGGGTGAGCAGCCAGGGAGCCATGATAGTTCTGAAAGTGTGGTGTGACAATGACCTGGACAGGATGACAGCTGAGGACATGGGAAGGAAAGATGTAGCTGAGATTTACTCAAAGGATTGGTGGACCTTGGTAACAGCAATAGGCAGCAAATGTTGTGGTGGCAGATCCCAACGCTCTGATCTGAGTCGGAGTGTCCAGATCCCCTGGACTAGGGAAATATCTACACTGAAATAGAGAGAGGGGGGATATAGCCAACTGTTAATTTTGTCAAGTGGTCATTTTAAAGTAACTGCCAAATACCACAACCACTATTTATTTTTTAAGAACCAGAAAATTAAAAGGATATAACCTAAAAGCAAACAGCCTCATGAAGAAAATGAGGGGGAAAGGAAGTTAATTGGAATTCTGATTTTAGAAATGGCTCTGAGAATGGGAATTCAAGAAAAAAATTAGCAGCCATGTTTCTTGCCCTGGCACTTAATCTGAGTACATCTCAACTACCTTACAATAATTAACACTCTTTCCAGTTTACACAGCACCTCTACATATGTGGTCCTACTTACCCCTCCAACCAACACCCTGCGATGGCTGACCACAGAAATACTGAGCGTGTCCAGGGTGCTGCTCTGGCAAAGTGCAGCCCCGCCAGCTTGATGCCTACATGGCCATCCTGTGCCACCTTGCTGTTTGTACCCCACAAAACCCTTCCTCTGCATTTTCTTTTTTCTTTTTTTTTTTTTAGAAAATCTAATTGAAATTTAATTAAATATATTTCTCTACAGTCCTGCAGGTTTTTCTCTTTTTTTTCTTTCTTCTTTTTTTTATTTTTTAATTTTTTTTTTAGAAGCAGCCGTGTTGTAAATGAGACCTGTGTGGCTGGTGTGCTAAGACACGCACTGCCTGCTTCCTCTTTTTTTGGCCAGGCCTGGGTTTGAACCCGCCACCTCCAGCATATGGGGCTGGCAACCTACTCCTTTGAGCCACAGGCGACGCCAATTTTTTTTTTTTTTATAAGACAAGTCTCACTTTGTCACCATTGGTAGAGTGCCATAGCGTCATAGCTCACAGCAACCTCAAACTCTTGGGCTCAAGTGATTCTCTTGCCTCAGCCTCCCAACTAGCTGGGACTACAGGTGCCCACCACAACTCCTGGCTATTTTTAGAGACAAGGTCTCGCTGTGGCTCGGGCTGGTCTCGAACCTGTGAGCTCAGGCAATCCACCTGCCTCAGCCTCCCAGAATGCTAGGATTACAGGTGTGAGCCACTATGTTGGGCCCCCCTTCCCCTGTATGACCCCAACATGCAGTTGACCACTCCAGATTTCCCCCAGATCACCCTCCCCCATCTAGTTCACCTAGAGAACTCCTGTAAATCCATTAAGAACCATTGAGGCAGGGAATGACTTCCATCCCCTTCCCAGTGTGAAGAAGAAAATGAGTCTGTGCAAAGGGAACATGGTGGTCTTCAAGAGGGTACTGAAGCTTCATGTGTGAGGTAGGGACAGATCCCTCAGTTGCCACATGAAGAGCCTTAGGGCACTGGTTCCTTAAAACCAAAACCTCAAAAGTTTTATTCCCAATTACTAGCAAATATGTATCGAGTGCCTACTACATACCAGACCAGACTCTGCCCCAGCACCTGGCACATAGTAGGGGGTCTACTTCAGAGAAGCTGAGCTCATGAAGGGGGCGCAGCTCATGTCTACATTTTCACTGTAATTAATATAAACAGCTAATAGGCAGTATCTATCCCCTTGAGACTTTTATTTTCAAAAATCTTTCTCTCTCTTGATTTTTGATATTTTGGGGATAGTAGAAAGCAGTCTGTAAAGGAGGGTGCCCTTCTGCCTGAATTTTCAAACTGCTGTGATAGAAATGAGGCCATTGAGTTGCCAGACATTTGCACACAAGATGACAACCATCCCTCTGTAATGAGAGACTCAGCAGTATCCGGGTTGCATATTCTCCTCTTTGAAACAAAGAAAGGGAAAAGCTGGACCTTCCACAAGAGGACACGGAAACACAGATAGGAAGTTAGACAATAAAGGGTGGCATTTTCTTTTTGTCACTGAATTTATCCAAATTAGCAAGTTCATGTTATTTTTTTAAAATATCCTTTTATTTTTTGGTACAAAGTCATCACAGAACAGAAACTTAAACCCAATTATTTTTATTATGGGAAAATTAATTTTTTCAAAGTCAAGCCAAAAGTATACACTATGTCCACTCATCTTTTGTGACTCAGTATCACTTTACTTCTATACTCCAAACACTTTACAAACACCATCTCTACTCCTTCCACCCTGTGCCTACATTTGATTGTTATTTCCATCTTAGAGATGAAGAAGGTGGCTCGGCGCCTGTGGCTCAAGCGGCTAGGGCGCCAGCCACATACACCTGAGCTGGCGGATTTGAATCCCCAGCCCGGGCCCGCCAAACAACAATGATGGCTGCAACCAAAAAATGGCCGGGCGTTGTGGCGGGCGCCTGTAGTCCCAGCTACTTGGGAGGCTGAGGCAGGAGACTCGCTTGAGCCTAGGAGTTGGAGGTTGCTGTGAGCTGTGATGCCATGGCACTCTACCCAGGGGAATAGCTTGAGGCTCCGTCTCAAAAAAAAAAAAAAAAAAGAGAGATGAAGAAGCTAGGGCTGGGACAGTCAGGTAGCTTTCCCAGTATGGTACACAGCAGCAGGTGGCCAAGGTCCGTCTGACGTGAAAATCCTTGCCCTCCAACTTTGCCCCCAGGGATGAGTAAGATTGTAGGCTCAGCTCTGACCCTCTGCCCATCTCTACAGCTGCCATGTACTCGGAAATCCAGAGGGAGAGGGCAGACATCGGGGGCTTAATGGCCCGGCCAGAATACAGAGAGTGGAACCCAGAACTCATCAAGCCCAAGAAGCTGCTAAACCCCGTGAAGGCCTCGCGGAATCACCAGGAGCTGCACCGGGAGCTGCTCATGAACCACAGAAGGTGGGGACGAGGCCTTGCTGCCTGGACTGAGCAAGCACCCCTCCTCCAGTCCTGGGAGGTGCCCCTGGTGGAGAGCAGGTCTAGCTGTCATCCTGGGCTCCTGGGGGCTGAGGGGGGCTCACATGGGAGAGAGTACAAATGTTTCAGAGAGGCCCAGGAAGGTGGCTGGCTCTTCTGTGGCAATGGCCTAGGTAGATAATGAGAGAGACTGGCTGGAGGGGCATCTACGAGGTGGCAGGAGTAGGACTGGGCAATTTATGGGATGTGAAGACGGGAAGAGGAATACCTCCCTGCAGACCCCTACCAGGACGAAGGTGGCCTGGCTCCCTCTGCTGGCCAATTCTGGTATAGCCAGGTGTGATTTCCATTCCTGTTTTCAAATGTGTGACCCTTTTGTACCCTAGGTTATTTTAGTTTTGTTTTCAATTTAGTATTATAAGAGCATTTTCTCTGATTGCCTTTTAGAAGAATCCCTTTTAATATCAAAAGAACACCACAACAACCAATAAAAACTTAAAGAAATATTTTAAGTATAAATTATAATGAAAAAATTTATATATCCAGAAAAAAATAATACATTTAGATCTCTTTAATATCCACAAGGAAAGGATGTATAAAATGTATAAAACTGTACCTAACAGTTTATTCACAAAAGAATAAATACAACTGGCTGGTAAATATATGAAAAGCTGTTTCTCGTGACTAATAATCAAAGAAACAAATGAAAACCAGGTATTATTCCTTATCTACTAGCTTCTCAAATACAGATTGGCTGGTGATGAGGGGACAGATACTCTTGTATAGTATTGATAACCTTCCTAAGAAGGGATAGAAGTATGCACTCACAATTTTGTAAAAGAGCTTGACCCAGCAATTCTACCTTTAGAAACTCATCCTAAGAAAATAATCAGAAATAACATAAAACCTGGTCTCTGTAGTCAGACAGGCCTGGATTCACATCCTCATTTGGCCCCTTTGTAGCTGTGACTTATACTAGAGCCTCAGTTCCTGTCTCTGTAAAATGGGACAATAATGGTTCCAACTCCAGGGCTACTAGGAGGATTGCACAAGAGAATAGTGAAGGTTGGTGTCACCACAGGGTACAGCCCTGAGATGGGAGCGGAGGGAGGGGAGGTTCTCCTAACAACTCCCCCACTGCAGGGGCCTGGGTGTGGACAATAAGCCAGAGCTGCAGCGAGTCCTGGAGCACCGCCGGCGGAACCAGCTCATCAAGAAGAAGAAGGAAGAGCTGGAGGCCAAGAGGCTGCAGTGCCCCTTTGAGCAAGAGCTGCTGAGACGACAGCAGAGGTTGAATGAGGTGAGCAGAAGGCACCCATCCTTGCCCTACCTTCCAAGGCTGTTGTTTCCTGGCCCAGGGAGGAGCTCTGTGTGTGGCCGTGAAAGGGAAGAGTCAGCAGAATGAGCACTGGACCAAGAGTCCACCACTGGCCTGAGGTCTTGCTCTACCATTCACTCTGCTGTGTGACTGTGGGCCAGTGGCTTTCCCTCTCTGCACCTCAGCTTCATCATTGGCCCAATGTACCTCATGCTGGTTCTGATTTCATTCATAACTGTCCTGCCAGTCAGCTGGCAGTCTCACTTTAGAGGTGAGGAGCCTGAGGCCCAGATGAGGTGAGCAGTTTGAACCAGGCTTCACAAGAAGAGCTCATGCTCTGTCCCCCAGGTGCCAGGCTGCTGGCAAAGCTGGTCCCTAGGTCGGTTCTGCTTCCTCACTAAGAGGCTCCTTGGCCCAAACTCCTCGTGGGTCTGAGAGTAGGGATGCCTGAGCCCCACTCACTTCACACCTTTGCCTCTCTCCTCCAGCTGGAAAAACCACCAGAAAAGGAAGAGGACCACGCCCCAGAGTTTATTAAAGTCAGAGAAAACCTGCGGAGAATCACCACGCTGAGCAGTGAAGAGAGGGCACTGTAGGGTTGGCTGCTGCCATCCCCACCACATCGCCCACCTGCCGGACACCTTCCTCCAGCCCTGGCAGCCCTGGGCCTCAGCCTTGGGGCATATGTGACATTCCCACCTGTTCCCATAAAAATGTGTTACCCAAGAGGCCCTGGCTCTCCTAGGGAGGCTGCGCCTTAGCGCCTAGGCTTTTCCGTCTGAGCACCCAGTCCTCCTGCTCCAAGAAGAAGCCACTCCAGGGAAAACCTGCACCAAGGCACCCTTCCCTGGTGGGGATTCTTTTCTGGCAGAACTGGGAAGAAGGGGCAGGTGAAACTGGGAAGTAGAGGCAGGCAGCCCTCTAGCTGGACAAACCCTCCCTCCTGCCCAGGGATCCCCACCAGGAACCTTGAGGCCCCACAGGACCCTGCGTCTGGGAGCAGCCCAGCTCTCAGGTGTCAAAGAAGTCTCTCCCTCTCTCCCCTCACCTCCTATTCTACCTGCAGCCAGCAGAGTTTAACTTCAAGAACACTTGCCTCAAAAGCCTCTGAGTAGAGGTGGGGGGTTGGCAGCCCCCCCCCCCCGCAAGACCTGATAGGAAGGGTACTGAGGACTTGTCAGGATTTGCCAGGCTTCCCCCGACACCTGAGCTTTGCTTTTTCCTTCTGTGAAGCCCTCCCTGTCTGGGCCTTGTAACCACACCTAGCCAGGCAGCATTCCTGCACCCAGATGTCTGTAGCAGTGCTTCACAAACTACTGTGCACACAAATTGTGGGGGACCTTGCTAACATACAGCTTCTGATCCAGTAGATCTGGGGTGAGGAGGGAGAGCTTGCATTTCTAACAAGGCTTGTGCTGTGAGCAGCAGGGCTGGAGCAGCCAGGGATGGTAAGTATTGGAAATACCATCTCTGAAGCCATCATTGCCCCCCAGCTCCTGTGGATCTTTGCCCTGAGTGTTCCCATCTCACAGACACATGGTCCCATCCCTTCTCTGCAGCCCCAAGCACCCTTCATTCAATTTTCACCCCACCCCCAGGGACTTTAATCCAGGATGTCTGTGGCCTAGCAAGTTGTGTTGATTATGTGATTTTGTTGTTTTTACCAGAGATGTACAAAATTGCCAATCTGCATTCCTCACCAGTGTGACCACACTGTTAATGATGCAATTTAGCCAAAAGAAAAAAAAAATGTTAACCTTTTCCTACAGCCTTAGGGATTAGAAATATATAATGATTTCTAGTAGGCATCTGAAAATGTATACAGTGGTTTGAAAACCCCACTGCCACCTATAAGGACTGGCCCTTAAGAATCAGCACTTCCAGCCTCTGCCGCCTGAGGCCCATCCCCTCCCTGGGCCAGTGCTGATGAATTCATTCATGTTTCTTCCTCAAAAAGCCCTTCCTGAATCGGCACCCGTGGCACAGTGGTTATGGCGCCAGCCACATGCACCAATTTTGGCGGGTTTGAACCCAGCCCGGGGCAGCTAAACAATAATGATAACTGCAACCAAAAAAATAGCCAGGTGTTGTGGCGGCCACCTGTATAGTCCCAGCTACTTGGGAGGCTGAGGCAAGAAAATCGCTTAAGCCCAAGAGTTTCAGGTTCCTGTGAGCTGTGACGCTAACGAACTCTACTGAGGGCAACATAATGAGACTGGGTCTCAAAAAAAAAAAATCTCTTCCTACGAGACCCCCAAATATGTTAACCTGTTGCTCCTATCCCATTTGTAAAGCTTTAGAGAATAAACCAGGCCTGTTTGTTTCCCACTGAAGATTAAAATCCCACCCTCTGATTTGGTGTGATGGCAGTGATATAAAAGCATCTCCTTTCAGTCCCCACACTGCCAGAAAGATCTGCCACTGGGCCACTCTTTGATCCCTGGAAGTAAAGGTGGAACTGACAGAGAAAAGGAATTGTCTTGGTCTGACCCCTAACCAGGTGGTTTGGATGCCTAAAGATGCCGTCCTTTTCTGTGGTGTGAGAAGGGTGTGAATATAGATAGTCGGCCTGTGTGTGTGTGTATGAGTCAAGCTCTAAATGGCTCCTGATGTGACTGTCTTGGCAAGAATGTGGTAGTGCTGTTTTAAATGTTTGCCAGACTAGGGGTGTGCTAAAGATACATGATCCCTAAAACAAAGACCACCACTGCCCCCAAAGAAGTAGCCATCAGGGGTCCAGGCGTTGTTCACACATGGGAAGAGAAGCAAGACAAGAACGTCTCTGAGTAGGACCCTCCAAGGGAATGTTGGGGTTTCCCCCAGTGGTCCCCAGAGGTTCTCCATGGAGGCGACAGGTCATGGAGATGAAGCCCCAGAGTGGGGGACTTCCAACACCATGTCATCCAGGGATGCCCTGGCAGACACCCTTGCTTCACTCCCCAGCGGTGTCCCAGCTCCATCTCTCTAACCTCTTCCCACCGTGGAGGCCATAGTCTAGATTCTCACTTTTCTGCCTCCTGTCTAGCTTGGGATGACCAGGTAGCTAATGAAATGGAAGAGGAAGTCTACAGGGGCTTCTTGGAAAATTGATGCTTTTCTGATAAAAGACATCAACGTGGCTCAGACCTCTCTGCCCCTCCTTTCTTCCTGCCTTGATTGAAGGTGTGATGCCTGGAGCTATAGCAGCCTGTCTTCCTATTATGAGATAAAGGCTGAGAGAATTAGAGACGTTGACCCTATCATTATCTGATCAAGCCACTGCCAGCAGCCTTCCTTCTCCAGAATTCCTGTAAATAAAAATAAATCCCTCTTTATTTAAGCCATTGTTGGTCAGTCTCTGTTACTTGCAACCAAAAGCATTCCTACTGACAGAGGCCAGGACTGCTTTCCCAGAACTACCTGCAGGCCATGCTAAAAATCCAGATTTCTTTTTCTCATCAGAAGCCTATTGGATCAGGATCCCCTGCTGCAGTCCCTGAAATTTGTTTTTCTACACCTTCCACGGATAGCCTAATCTGAGAACTAGTCCTGGGGACCCGCTAATGCACATATTATTCAATAAATATTTGTTGAGTGCCTGCTGTGGCTGCCAGGATGCATGCGGCATGCTGGGGACACAGTGGGGAGTGGGGAACAGATACAGTGCCTACCCTTCACCTGGAACTTCCCATGCCACCCCCTAACCAGCCTCCCTGCTGTGGCCCTTTCTCGGCAGGGCAGCCAAAAATGATCCCGTTAAAATCCAAGGCAAGCAGATCTTGTCACTCTGCACAGAACCCTCCCCTGGCTCTCAGTGGGTTCCTTCCTGCCATCTAGAGGCCCCTTTGTGTTCAGCTGTCTCTTAACCTCTAACCTCCGCCCCACACTCTTCCCCTCACTCAGACAGCCCCAGCCAGCCTGGCCTCCTGAATGCCCAGACACCACTTGCCTCAGGGCCTCTCTACTTGCTAGTCGCCCAGCTAGAAGTGTTCTTCCCTCAGAGTGCCACCCAGCACATGCCCTCCCTTTCTTCAGATCTTTCTTCATCGTCCTAAATGACCCCCCTCTTGGCCACTCCATCTATTAATAGAATCTCAGCATCCACACTCTTCCTATCCCTGACTTCCCAGCCTTATTTTTCTTCCTTACCATTTATCACCATTACACATATTGTGTTTTTATTTATCCCACGTGTGTCTCCTGATGATAATGGCAGAGACTTATTTACTGCAGCATCCCTGGTGCATAGGGCCCACAGGAAGCACTCAATCAATGCTTTGTTGAATGAATGAACAACAAGCCCCTCACAACTTGCAATCCACTCAGCCTCCACCCAGGGTCAGCCCATAGCCCTTACCTGCCTCTTCCTCCACAGTTCCCACCCTGACCCAGAGATCTCAGTTGGACCCAGAAGCCCTCCTCTGGCCTCTTGGACTTCCACCATTGGCATTGTGCCTGCAGGCCCCACATTGGAGCTGTGTGGCTCCTGCATACCACAGGGATGTTCAGAGTCAGAGCATCCCTGAAGGCAGAAGTCAGGCCATCACCCAGTCCTAGGGACCTTGGAGAAGTACCTACCCTGAGCAGGGGGCCAAGACAGCAATGCCTGTTCCTTCTGAGGGCACACTCTCTCTCACATACCAGATGACAAGCCCTCTTTTGGCTTGGGAGAACTCCCCCTTCAATGGCAAAGCAGCCCTGAACACAAACCCTGCAAGAGAAGGCAGACCCTGCAAGGAGAAGGACACTCCCTACCTGGCTGTCTAGTGTGTGTGCCGGTGGAGTCCTCAGAACCCAGTAGCTTTTGCAGGGCTTCCTTGCCACACTTGACACCCTACTAACTCCAGGCCCCAGGAGGGCAAGGTCCCTGTCTAATTCTACTCATTGTTAGCTCCAGTCTCAGCCCAGTACCCTGAAAACTGGTGTTCAAAAAAATTGTGAATTGATGCCAATAATGATCACTATATTTGATCACTGTAATGTCACCACCCATAATAACTGTTGTCATCCTCCCCACTCTGCAGATGAAGAAACTCGGGTAAGTTAAAGGACTTGCCAGAAAACATAAAACAATGCCTACTGAGAGATGGAATTCACATCGAGAGCCATCTGTCTACAAAGACAAAGTTATTTCTGCTACAGCCAGGTCTTTTTTTTTTCTTTTTTTTTTTTTATAAATGATCACTGTGTACATTAATGTAATCATGGGGTACAATGTGATTGTTTTATATATAACCTGAAATATTTTCATCAAACTGGTTAACATAGTCTTCATGGCATTTTCTTAGTTATTGTGTTAAGACATTTATATTCTATACCTAGTAAGTTTCGCATGTACCCTTGTAAGATGCACCATAGGTGTGGTCCCACCAATTACCCTCCTTCCACCCATCCTCCCCCTTCCCCTCCCTTTCCCCTTTTCCCATATTCTTGGGCTATAATTGGGTTATAGCTTTCGTATGAAAGCTATAAATTAGTTTCATAGTAGGACTGAGTACATTGGATACTTTTTCTTCCATTCTTGAGATACTTTGCTAAGAAGAATATGTTTTAGCTCTATCCATGTAAACATGAAAGAAGTAAAGTCTCCATCTTTCTTTAAGGCTGCATGATACTC